AAAACAAAAGTCTTTGGAGCAAAGTAAATTTTAAATCTTACTCATATATAAATGTTCTTAATTTTAATTTATGTAAAAAGGCTTTGTAACAAAGAAAACTTTTTAAAATCATAAGGACTCAATAAATAATCATTTAAGATTATTTAGAGTCAGATTGATAAAGACTTAGATATTTTGGAGTTATACTAAGACATTATATTCTTAAAAAAGGCGATCATGATATTATTTACAACTGATTAGTTAGCAGCCATCAGATTGATTGGATGTTCATCAAGTTTTCTCGATTCTCAACTTTTAGATTTTGGTTAGATTCTTTAAATTTATTTTACATTTATTTTATCAACTATTTAAAAAAAGAAACTCAAAAAGACATTAGTCATTATGAAAAACAGTTTGCAATATCCTTATCAGATGAACTCTAATATAAATATGTTAATAAGTTCTTAAAGAGATGTTAAGAGAGTGAATCAATTGATTAACTAGATGAAAAAATATTAACTTCAATGTATAAATTAGGTCTATCTTGAAATTATAATAAATATTTATAAAATGTTTTTAAGTTATAATTATTATAAAATAAGTAATTATAAATAAATAAAGAAATATATAAATTATTTTTAAACAAATTTAAATGTATATTAATTAACTAACATGATCCCTTATTAATTCAAATCAGAGTTTGGTGTTAAAAAAATAAATAACAAGAATAATTATTATAAAAGGCTAGCTAAAAAATTATGTGCTAGACCACACTTTTCCCTTTATATCAAATTTAATATTTATTAATACAATTTATTTTTACTGAATTGATTAATTTCTTCTAAATTTAATGCTTTAATTTCTATATGCTTGAAATAAAATTTCTAACCTTTCATTCAAAAGATTGAATAAATATAGTTATTTGTTGCAAAATGAAAGTTATTTATTCTTAACAAAATCCATAAATAAACCATACTTTATTTATTAATTTCTTCCAAAATATATTTTTTATTTAGATAATTAAAAGTCTAGATTATTAATTAACTCATTTATTTTAATTCAGTGGAAAATAAGAAATTTTCTCTTGAAATAACTTTTAATCACATTTTAAATTGAAGAATTACTTCTGGAGAATAACTTGATGAGATAATCACAGTTTTAGTAAAATAACTATAAATTATATAAAAAATCAATAAAAAAAGTCATTGTTTTTAAAATTAACTTTCCAAAAGTAGAAGTTTTTAAAATAAGCAAAAACTATAAAAATAGAAATGAGTTTTCTTAAATACGACTTATTTTCTTCTAAATTCTACATGAATATAGGTGGGTAACAGATCAAAAAAGGTACTGTTTTCGGAATGCTGCTATCAATACTCATTATTGGACTAGCTTCTACTTATTTTATTTACATCCTTTATTAGTATTTCACAAATGGAATTGAACCTAATTACAGGGAGCAGAGCTTCATAACTCAAGACAGAATAGATATTGAATTAAATAACAACTTAGTTGGGTTCAGGTTTGAGTACGATGTAAACAAGAGTATTTAGCAATTAGAAGCAGAAAAAAATAAGAAATATATGGTTTTCATTGCTCTATTTTTTTACTTCGACAACGACTTTTATCAAAATATTCCATTAGATATATTTGAATGCACTGATGAGAATCTAATCGGATTTTACTGCTTAGACTACTCTAAAGTATCTAACTACACTTTAACGCTCAGCACAATTGATAATATTCAATCTCAAATACAAGTTTTCTCATATGGATGTTTAGATTTAGATTAATTAAAAACAACAATCCCCAGATAA